TTGGCAGTTCTCTTGAGAATTGTCAAGGGCACAGATTCAGTATCTCTTAATCTTTGGCTTGGGGCTTTATTTGAGAACTATGGAAAAAGAGAAGTGTAATCAGAAATGGTACAGGAATAAAATACACACACATGCACATTGTATTATATATATTCATTATTAAAATGATTTGGTTCACACTACACATACCTCACTTAGATCTACCTGGTTTTACAATACATCTTGTAGATCTTTCCATGTTAACACATTTAGATACAAGTAAGGTATTTCCTGGATACTGAAAAATAGTAGTGACTAGACGTACATCAAAGCAAATTGACCAACATGAAAAGCTTGGGTCTTAACCCTAACTTTTTAAAATAAAAATCAAATTTAGCATATTAAGATGTACAACAGCAGCAGCTAACATTTATTGAATATTTGTATGGGTGATTAACATGAATTTTTGCAGTACTAGGAATTGAACCCAGAGCTTTCACACTAAGCTACATTCCCAGCCCCTTTTAAATTTTTAATTTTGAGATAAGGTTTCACTAAGTTGTCCAGACTGGGCAGTCCTCCTGCCTCAATCTACTGGAGTGCTGGTATTACAGCACATTTAGCTGACTTGAATTATTTTATATAACATTTATAATGATCTGTATGATATGTATTATGGCTATTCTCATTTTACAGATGAGAAATATAAGGGTTAGAATGGCTAAATGACTCATCCTCACTAGAGCTAGCAAAATGGTAGACTCAGGATTTAAACCTAGGACTGTCTGGCTCAAGGATGTTCTTAATCAATTTGTCTTCCTGTTCATCTTTACATTAAATACTTCACTGAATTCATTGGCTTTACTCCAATTTTACTTTAAATGTGCTAGTGTTTACCCAAGACTGGTATTATGTATTGGGGAGTATGTAGTTCATGGTATGATTTGAATTTTAAGTGGAAGTATGTCTCACTAAATTATCAAACTGGGGGCTGGTGAGATGGCTCAGTGGTCTAAAGCACCTACTTAGAACAAGCTAAGTTAAACAAAGCACAGGGACCGCGGTTCAATCCCCCAGCACCACATGCCAGCCAGCCCCGCCCCCTGGTGGGCTGAGCTGGACACACACACACACACATAAATAAATAAAATTTAAAAAAAAAATTATCAAACTGTTTGAGGTCCCACAATTGGAAATTCATTCCTTGGAGCATTAACTGAAGGAAAAGTAGAATGATCTAGCAATACTCAAAGAAGTAGGACTAAATAAAGCAATTCAATATAAACAAGTTATTTAACCAAATCTCAAGAGTGGGAAGTACCTATGAAACAGAAGAAAAAAGGTGTGGAGGACCACCTGAACCGCTCTTCTTGAAAGAAGAGCGACTATCTCCATTTTAACTGAGCCTGACCCTATTTCCTCGTATTGTTCTATACAGAGCTGGCTGGGACTTTTGTTTATCCTTCAGTTAGCCTTAAGCAATGTGTATTGGTCTAGCTGAGGTGCTGGTGATAGTCTTTGATCCTACACCTGCTGTTCTTTAATGTGAGCCGGGTGGAGACAGACAGTAGAGCTAATGCTCCATGCCACCAGCTGGGATCAAGCCTCCAGATAGAGACTATGACTTCCTGGGGCTTGAAAGACTACATCAAAGCTGAAGCACCAGACTTCCCAAAACATTAGATGCTATAATGCAGATTACTCTCTCTGCACATCCTCTCTGCATATGGTGGAGATAAATGTAGGCCACCCACCTAGCTCAGCTCACAATGGTCACCTATTTCCCACAGTTCTCAGTCAATCCTCCTCAAGCCACTCCCCCACTGAATAAAAACCGGGTGAGGCCCTGGGTTGCTCTCTTGGTTCCTGAAAGCCATCTTTGTGGCTAGACTTAGAGCCCCTTGACTCCCCGACTGAAAATATAATTTAGTGTCTTTATTTTCGCTGTGGGTTGCATTGTAAGTGGTAGATTGGAATCAACTTGATGGGATTCCGATAACATGACTTTGGGATTATAAATATTGGCTTCTTGGACCGAGACAAGGTCCTGGAAGTGTCTCCAACAAAAAGGTTTTAAGGAGAAAGACTCATGCTTGTAGGGAATGTAAAATGGAGTCAACTGGAGATAAAGATTCATTCACTTTTGCCTTCAAGAATGTATACCCATAGAAAGGCATACTGGCATTAAAGCCTACCTGTTAAAATTGGAACTCCAGCAATCCTGGTGTAAAATAAATTAGCAGAGACAGGGATGAGAATTTCAGGACAACCAGTGGGACAGAGCAGGATACACGTAGATTTACAAGGGCCAGGCTATGTATGACAGCACCTATTCTCCAGGGTCAGCCTTAAATTCACATAAATTCAAAGGCAGGTTCTAACCTGAGAGATCAGGATGTTTTGCTTTTTTTTTCCTTTCTGTATTTAGGACAGGGTTTACAGGGTCTACAGGTCTAAAGGGTCTCACTACGTAGATCGGACTTTTAGTGATTCTCTTGTGTTCAGCCTCCCAAGTGCTGGGATTACAGACTGTGCTACCACACCCAGTCTCAATCACCATCTCTGCATGACACGCTGGCGATCGAACCCTGGCTGCTGCATTCTGCTTAAGCAGGCGCTTTAGTTTGCTGAGCTATCAGGCCTTCCCTGAGATCAGGATGTTAACTGACGTTTTTTTAATGTGGCTTGTGAGTGTGACAAAAGAGTAAATGTAACAAGTGCTATTAGTCACATTACATAACCAGGGAAAGATTTGGGAAGTCAATCTAATGTGAGACAAGAATAAGTTGGCAGAAGTAAGGTATCCAGGTAGTATGTAGGGGGCCTGGCCCTAGCTCAGTTCTTTAAGTGGCTGCTTCCACAAAGCTGTCAGCCTCAGGTTGCTGTAGTTCGATCCCCACAACTCCGGCCAGCCAAACCTGCCCTGAAGGCATTCAGAGAAAAAAAAAATCTGTATTCCAGGTAGCATGTATTTTTAAATTTTTTTACACTATATGATTTTTAAAATTTATTTCCCTTCTTGCCTCCTTCCTAAAAGTATTAAATTTTGCTTTCAGTGCATCACACATATGAGAGAACCACTGAAATAAGAGACTAGGAGACAGATAATGAGGTTAGGGGTTTCGAATTGTAAGGGCACACTTAGAGAATAGCAGACTTGTAGGCATAGTATATGTCTTAGTTATTTTTTACTTGTTGCTGGGACAAATACCCGACACTCAAAATGAAGGAAGGAAAGGTTTATTTAGCTCACAGTTACTGGAGGGTTCAGTCCATATTCTGTTGGCTCCAAGGCAAACAGCAGTTCATGCAGCAGAGAACAATGAAGAGCAGTGAAGATCCGAGCTCCTCCAAAGTGGCCCATCCGCAAAGATCAAGCTCCTCTGAAGACTGGGACTTCAACCCCACACCAAGCCGGGCAGGATAGCAGGAAACCAATCAGGGCGGCTTCCTGCCTTTCTCAGTTCCTGGGCCCTGCCCACCTGCAGGGCTAGGCCCCCATGTTGAGATCTGCCCAGCTGATTCAGCCAAGTTGACACAATGTATCAACTAACACAGTATAGCAAAACTTATAAATCAATTCATAGCCTGTGACTATGCTTGTGTTGCCCTAGTCAGCCTTGACTGTCTACCTGTGCTGAATCATCTTGATTGTGCCCCAAAATACATATTGTTTCCAACTTGCTTCAAGGACTTTATAGTCTGGGACTAGTCCAGGACCCCTTTAACTCTACTTGCTCATCTCATACCCTGTTCTCCTCCTTCCCAGAATGTTAAAACAATTCCTTTAAGTAAACCTGTCTGACAGAGTATGACATAATTTATGTACTCCATAATCCATTATGTCATAACCTGCTATCAGCTTCATAATTTTCTCCCACAAACCGCATTTAAACTGAACTCAAACTTCACTCTGGGCTGGTGACGTGAACCTCTGGGTCTGCCAGCCTGTTAAAGTAATAAAAGTTGTCTTCTAACTCCTCAGGGCGAAGCATCTTCCATTGGTATTGATACTGTTTTTGTGCTGCAGACTGAGAATAATGGTGCCCTTCAAAAGCCGGCTTGAGTCATAGCTGAACCCCAGAACAGCGATTTTGAAATCCATGTGGACCGAACAGTAAGCATGACCTAAGCACTTGCCCTGCTTGATCTCACTGAATCTTCCTAGTCACTCATGACGTGTATCTTATTATCACCATTAACGTGTTTCAGATAATGAGGAAACTAAAACTTGGCTTGGGTAAACTTGTTGGAAGAGTTTCATAGCTAGGGCAACAGAAAGCCAGATCTGAACCTACCTTAACTGTGCATCTAGGCTTGTAATCATACAAGATACCAGCTCTGGAGGCAGAAGTTATCAGGAATCCAGTTTTTAAAAAACGCTGGAAGACAGAAAGTCTCGCGTGACTTACACAATTTCTCCCTTGCAGCCCCCTAAACCCTTGTGAACACGTGAACAATGGATTAGCACGCGAGGGAGTCCAGTCACGGCCCGCAGCGCCGCCTTCGCGGGCCGCGCCAGCTGCTGCAACGTGCGCCCGTCTCGTCTCGCAGAACCTGTTTCCGCACGCCCTCACCCCACCCTTGAGTTCCAAAAATGTCCACGGCTGCTCCCACACCCTTCCATTCCGAGGAGCTCTCCAGACCCCAACCATATCTAGTCTCCACAGCGGCAGGTCTCCTCGAACTCCCCGAGTCGCCCCCCGCCGGCCTTGCGGTTTTAAGGGTTATAAACCCCACGCTCCGGCGCGCACTTAGGCACCTGGTGCCGGGTGTTGCCGCTGCGTACCAGCTAAAATAAAGCGCTTTGTAAGTTTTTGAGCCTGCCTCATTTTTGATTTACAACAAGTATCTTGCTTCATAAGGGACCAAATGGTCCTTCCTATAACGTGCAAACATTTTTTTCTCTTGAAAAACGTAACTTCGAGCACCCTGCTACCGCGGCACTAGACCGGCTCTAGGACCCAGCGCAGTGCACGTGGCGGCCGGACGGGCAGGCAGCGCCGCGTCTCTGACGTCATCGGCGCGCGCCGCCTGGGTGGGAGCGCGGAGACGCTCGTCTCTCACGCGCCATGGCGGCTCCAGTCCAGGCCCCTCAGCCAGGGGGTGGAAAGCGCAAAGGCAAGGCTCAGTACGTGCAGGCCAAGCGGGCTCGGCGCGGCGATGCAGTCGGGCCGCGGCAGCTGGAGCCTGGACTGCAGGGGATCCTCATCACTTGCAATATGAACGAACGCAAATGCGTGGAGGAGGCCTACAGCTTGCTCAACGAGTACGGCGATGACTTGTACGGGCCCGAAAAGGTACTGGCGTGGGTGGGGAAGGCCGGCCGGCCGGCCTGCGGAGCCGGGGAGGAGAGGGGCGGGCAGCGCGGCTGGTTTTCTGCGAGTTGGCTTTGGCGGAATCTGGGTGGACGCGCCTGACACCTTTTGAAGTTCTGCTCCTTAATCACACTTGCTCTCGTTTATTGATGTTTGTACGGGCCAGGGGATGTGCTTCTCGCAGCGACCTTGTGCAGTTGGCTGTAGTAGTTGGCGTGTGTTTACCCTAAATCATAGTATTTCAGAAGTAGTCATTTACCAGTTTCAAATAAAAATGCGTTTTAAAAAGCAAAATCGTTTGTGTGGGACTTGGTGGCACATGCCTGTAATCCCAGCACCGGGATTGAGGCAGGAAGATCTCTGTGAGTTCCAGTCCAGCCTGGGCTACAAAGTGAGCTCAAGATCAGCCTCAACTGCACAGGGAAACCCTGTCCTAAATAAACAAAAAGTTAAAACTTTTCTACCGTTACTACTTAAACCCCTATTTTCCCATCGTGGTTTAAAAATCATGCTATTATTGGCTTAGAATCTGTGCCAGTATGCACATGTGTACCCTGAGGAATTAGGTGAAAGTTGGTACGGAGGATCCCATCATTTACTGGCGCTTGGACTTAGGCATGAGCAAGTTCATTCTGCTGAAATAGATTGTTTTGAAGTACATGATATAGACTATAGTAATGGCTCCTTAAATAATCATAGTTATTAGTATTTAATTGATAAACCCATTAGTAGGTCTGAGAACGGGGCAGCAAATGGGTACTCCATCTATGCTAGTACCTTAAGCAAGTGCTTCTTTTTAAAAAAAACTTAATTTTTTTTATTAGTACATATATGTCATATATATCGATCACATTCATCATAGGGAATTTCTGCCTGTACATAAAATATAACTTGATTCTAGGGCCGGCCAGATAGCGGATTAAAGCTCCGCTTAGGCACATGCAGGGACTGGCGCAGGATCCCCAGCTTTCTGTGCCTGTCCTGCCCCCAGGGAGCGCTGAGACAGTGAGCAAGACTGGGTGTGGAGCTGCGCGCCTGTAATCCCAGGATTTGGGAGGTTGAAAACAGGAGGATCACTATGAGTCGGAGCTACGTAGTGAGACCCTGTAGACCCTGTACTAAATACAAAAATAAATAAATAAATAAAATAAAATATATA